AATTTACAATTTGCAATAAAGCTTATTAAATATTATTTTATATTAACATTATTTTAACATTATTTATTATTAAACTTTATTTAATTATTAATTTGATTATATACAGTTGAAAAATAGCAAAAAAGGAAAAAGTTAGCAAAAAGTAGGTCTCGAATATGGGATCTTTAATATTCAAGCGATTCGCCTTACTCGATTAAAAACGCTTGATTCTTTGTTGTACGCTGCTGTTGATCAAACAGTCTAACGCACGGCAAGGACGCGTGACGTAAATAGCTTCGCTTGTGGATATAACATGGACATGAACCATCTCAGAAAATAGACGTGACTTTTTGACCGATGCGGAAAATGGACGTGGCTATTTAGTTCCTAAGCCGGCCGGAAATGGACGTGCGTCACTAGCGTACGGCCTAGAGAAAGCGTCGTACGGAAAACGGCAGCGTGGCCTCTCTCAGGTTTCTCTCTGGCGATATTGTAAAAAGTGTCAAAATAGGAAGAGTCATAATGGAAGAGTCATTGATGATTCACTATTATTACTGTCACTCATTTCATCAATTAAAAACATTGTCACATTGATAGCGCAATTTATTGTGGAATCCATTTTGATTTTCCGCTTCTAATGCGTTCAATATCGTTCCGTTTCAAAGCATGTATCATGCGCATAATGAAACAAAACGCAGCCAATGCGCTAAGCATTAGCGATGCGAACGATGCGTGCTATGCACAAAACGGAACGCAACCGTTGTCGACGTTCCTCCTTCAAACTAGCAGAGTGACGGAGATAGCACCTTACTGCGTATCATTCTGTCCTTTAGAAGACGCAGACAACTAAGGCACTAGATATGTAGGTATTCTCATCCGCCATTTTGGTTCCTACTAGTTGGAGAATTATAGCGTATATAGTATAGTATAGCGTACATGTGTAACACGTCAATTATTAAAAATGATTCAGGACTTTTTTCGACTCATTTTTTGGCAAGGAATAACGCTATGTACTTAGTGGGCAGTCTTTAAGTGTCACCCTGTATACGCTATAATTCTCCATCTAATAGGAACCAAAATGGCGGATGAGAATACCTACATATCTAGTGCCTTAAACAACTCCTCTCACAGAACGCTGGGTCTATTTATAAGTCTATTTATAAGTCTATGGGTGTGATGCAGTCTGTGGCATCGATTATATAATTTTTCCCTAAGAGCGGAAACGTGGAAAGTGAAAATTTTACGTGAATTGGACGAATAAAATTGTCGAATTCACATAAAAGTTGTCATTTTTCACGTTTCCGCTCCTAGGGAAAAATTACATGATCGATGCCGTGACATGCATGATTCTTATTTCTAGGGACTCTAGTTCGGACTCGAACTGTCACTTCTGGCTGCGTTCTAAAATTCATTGCCAGTACTGAAAATCTATAATATACGTTACATAAACTATAGATTTTCAGTACTAGCAGTAAATTTCGGAACACAGCATCTGTCGACTTTAAGCATCCAAGGCGAATTGCATTCATAATCGATAAGTCATAGTAAATTTTAAGCAAATTCGTGATATTTGTTAGCATAAAAATAAGCCGATCAGTGTTTAGTATATAAATACACAGGTCAAAATGCCTGCACAAGAAGTGGCAGTGCCGCAATCGGCAACCACCGAGACTGAAGAGAACAACGGTCCTTCTTCACAGCCGATAGTAGGCATTATTTATCCACCTCCTGAGGTTAGGAGTATCCTTTATCAAAATCATTCGAAAGAGATTTAGCAGTAAATATTTGCTACAAAACGAAGTAGAAAGCAGCATATTAAATGTATTTTGCACACAATACTTTTAAAATATCCAGTTTTGGTTTAGCATTATTTATTTAACTTGATGGTTATTTATTTGTTCTTCCTTATATAGAAACTTAGACATTGTTGATAAAACCGCCAGCTTTGTGGCTAGGAATGGACCAGAGTTTGAGTCAAGAATCAGACAGAATGAACTGGGCAATCCCAAGTTCAATTTTTTAAACTTTGGGGATCCCTATCATGCTTACTATCAGCATAAAGTAAAGGAGTTCAAGGAAGGAAAAGGTCAAGAGCCTACAATAGGATCAAGTTCAGTTCCTGGGAAAACTGTTAATCTTATTGCACATCAAAAACAGCAAGAAATCTTGAAACAAGTTGAACAACCATTTGTGCCCAAAGATCCGCCAGTTGAATTTGAATTTATCGCAGATCCCCCTTCAATATCAGCCTTAGATTTGTACGTAATAACCTTTATATATAATTTTGTAGAATATTTTATATTTTAATCACACTTTTTTTAGAGATATTGTAAAGCTCACGGCACAATTTGTTGCACGTAATGGAAGACAATTCTTGACCAATTTAATGAATCGTGAACAAAGAAATTTCCAGTTTGATTTCTTGCGTCCTCAACATTCATTGTTTCAATACTTTACTAAACTTTTGGAACAGTATACTAAGGTATATAAAAAATATCTTGTTTTTGTTTTTAATACTATATACTAAAATAATAAATAGTCTAATAAAAAATAGTCCATACATTTGCTATTTATAGACTAAAAAATTTTAAATTTGATTTTTGATAGGTATTAATTCCACCTAAAGATTTGTTGCTGCGCCTCAAAGATGAGGCACTCAATATGGATAAGATTTTGGAGCAAGTAAAATACCGGGCTGAATATTTAAAATATCAAGAAGCACAAAGACGTAAAGAGGAAGAGGAATTGGAAAGAGAGAGGGTTGCTTATGCACAAATTGATTGGCATGATTTTGTCGTGGTTGAGACAGTCGATTACCAACAATTTGAAGTCGGCAATTTTCCAGCACCAACTACACCAGATGAAGTTGGTGCTCGTGTTCTTATGCAGGTGTGAACATAATTTTACGTTATAATTTTTACTTTATTGTTTGTTAGTTTGTAAAATATGAAATTATATATTAACTATATTTAGTTATATTTGAAAATGTTGATTTATAGGAACGTATAGAAGAGGGTGAGGATGTGGAAATGCAAATCGATAGTGATGCAGAAGACGAAACGCAGATGCGCACAGAAGGCGAAAAAGATCGTGCAAAAGATAATAACCAAGTAAATACATCTGTTATTTTATTATGCAGTAATGTTGCTCTAATGGTTTCTTTATCAATGGTTTCTTTATTTTAAGGTACAAGATATGGAGGAAGACTCTAGTGAAGAAGACGATGTTTCTCCACCGGGTGATACTCATAAATCTAAAGAATCAAAACCACGTGAAACAAATATGCAGCCTCCTCCATTGCCGCCTACACCAGGAAATGTGGTGGTCAAAAAGGGATATGATCCGAAACAACATGGTAAACATATTTTATTTTTGATTTAGTATTATTTATTTTAACAAATCAACATTTTATTTGTTAATATTTTTACAGCGACTAAAACTGCTCGTCCTGCGGCTCCGGATGAATATCTAATCTCGCCGATTACTGGCGAACGTATTCCTGCTAGTAAAGTGCAAGAACATATGCGTATCGGTCTATTAGACCCACGTTGGGTTGAACAGAGAGACAAACATTTAGATAAATTGGCACAGGAAACCGTATTTGCACCAGGAACTGCAATCGAAGCTAGTCTCAAGCAACTCGCTGAGAGGCGTACTGATATATTTGGTATTGGTGATGAGGAAACAGCAATTGGTAAAAAGATCGGTGAAGAAGACAAAAAGAAAGATGACAAAGTTACATGGGATGGTCACACTTCGAGCGTGGAAGCTGCCACAAGAGCTGCGCGTGCCAATATCACGTTGGAGGAGCAAATTCATCAAATACATAAGGTCAAAGGTCTTCTTCCTGATGAGGAGAAGGAAAAGATCGGTCCAAAACCAGTAAATCGTGCAGCTGAGCTTACTCATATGGCTGCTGTTGCTTCAAAACCGCAAGCTACACTGAAAGCACCTCCGAAACCACCGGCACCGAAGCCTATATCAGTACCTGCTCAACCGCCTCCACCACCTACCATGAGTATGCCCACTATGGGAATACCTCAACCAATGATGCCGCAGGCGCCGATGATGATGATGGCACCTATGCCGCCTATGGCACCCAGACCACCACCGTTGATGAGTATGAAGCTTTTTTATATTCATATATATCTTGAGAAATATTTGTTACTGCATTTTTATAGATAAAATTAATCAAAATATAATTATTTGTTGTAGCTCCGGCGATGTCACCATTTATGCCGACACCACCGCCAATACAGCCACCAATGCCAGCTGCTGTAAGTGATTTGTTAAGTAAAAAGTTTAAACACCATTTGTATTTCCTATCTATCTTAAAAGAGGCATGTTAATTACTTATAAGGCCTCTTCTGCGTTACTAATTGGTCAATTCGCGTTGTGTATTACTATGGATGCGTTCGGGGAGACGCTATTAGCGCTATTTAGCGCTATCGACTGTTCACGGAGCTAGCTGGTAGTGTTACCAAACGCAATTATGACGTCATTAATAGTAGTGTGATACGTCATAACTGCGCGCTATCAACGCTATTCCTTCCGAGGTAGTGTGTTGGTAGCGTTAGCGTTTGCGAGCTCCGTGAACAGCAATAGCATAGCGTGGTAGCGCGCTTCTGCTAATAAAAATGGAACAAGATCGTAAAAAAGCAATATTAACAGCAGTAGCACTTATAATGCAAGAATTAATAGATTCATCGTCTGAGAGTGATGATGGTGAAGAATGAAAAATTATAGAATAAAGTATAAATGTAAGAAAACATGTACCATGTCTCAGCATTAAAAATTAAAATATCGGCATTTCTCACATTTTCCGTTGAATTATCAGATGAATGTTTGTAACAAAATTAGGTGTTATTATTTCCAACTAGTTTAATATTGGACAAAAGATTTATAATTGGACTGGATCTTTTGTCCAGCATTTAACGTGTTGAAAATAATAACACCTAATTTTATTACAAACATTCATCTAATAATTCAACGGAAAATGTGAGAAATGCCGATATTTTAATTTTTAATGTTGATACATGGTACATGTTTTCTTACATTCATACTCTATTCTATTATTTTTAAATCTTTACCATCATCACTGTTAGACGATGAATCTATTAATTCTTGTATTATAAGTGCTACTGCTGTTAATATTGCTTTTTTACGATCTTGTTCCATTTTTATTAGCAGACGCACGCTACCACGTTATGCTATTGCTGTTCACGGAGCTCGCATTCATTAGCGCTATCTTGGCTCCGTGAACGGAGCTAGTAGCGTTAGCGTTGATAGCGCGGTAGCGAGCTGCCCGAACGCACCCTATGTGTCATCGAGCGGTTGTCGTCGCGATGTTTATGTTGATGATTTTGTTTATCATTTATCGGTTGTCATCGAGACGATTGCGTTTGACAGCTTGTATTTTGATAGCGTTACTTTGGCAGTTGACACAGTTGCTTGGCCGCTTTCCAGTTAATGACACAAGTCGGCACAAGTCATTCTGTCTGATATCTTTGTTCGGTATTCAATATTGTATATTCAATATTTTGTACAATAACAAAGATACAAACGCTGCTTGTATCTTTGTTATTATACAAAAAGCAGAAGTGTTTTAAAGAAAGTAAAAATGTAAATTATTATATAATGGGAAAAAATGACGCATGCTTGTGTGGCCTAGTGATAATAAAGTATAAACGCAACTTATAAAACTATAAGTATGTATTGCTATTGAAATCAAATTTCTCTTTTCTTTCAAAGATTGGGTTGAAACATCCTGCTGGTAAACCAGAAGAAGAACCACAAGCTAAAAAACTAAGAACCGAGGATTCATTAATTCCAGAACAACAATTTCTCGCTAGAAATAAGGTGAAAAATAAATACCCATTAATGCATTTTACCTTAAAAGAGGCATGTTATTTACTTTTGAAGCCTCTTTTCGTTATCTATCGCCAAGTTCGTGTAGATGATTTTGTTTATTATCGATCGGTTGTCATAGAGATGATTGCATTCGACAGTTTGTACTTTGACAGCTTTATTTTAACAGCTGTTTGACAAGTTTAAAGTGTTGAAAGGAAAGAAAGGAAAGAAAAGAAAGAAAAGAAAAAAGGCATACGTGCATGTATAATATATTCTAGTTTACCAAAAAATTTAAATTGTAACAAAACCTCTCAAAAAAAATTTTTTTTTTACAGGGTACTGTACAACTTAACATTGCTGTTCCAATGATGACGGAGAAAGCTGAATGGAAGTTAAACGGACAAACGTTGAATATTACTTTACAAGTAAGCGATACAGTCGCAACTATGAAAGCGCTTATCCATGAGCAAACTGGTATGCCACCTGGAAAACAAAAATTGCAATACGAGGTAATAATCATTGATAAATTTTTTTACGATTATAAATAAGTATCGAACATTATAAATATGTTATAAACATTATAAATATGTTATAAAAACGTTTTCTGCTTTCAGGGAATGTTCTTTAAAGATAGCAATACTCTTGCATATTATAATTTAACTTCAGGTAATGTCATCAATTTATTACCAAAGGAAAGAGGTGGTAGAAAGAAGTAAATAAAAGAATAATAAAATTAAAATAATCCATTAAAATAATCACTACAATATTATTGTAATGTTCTATTAATATTCCGATAATCTTGTTCATTTATTAACCAGTTTAAAAGAAGACAATAGATATTTGATAATTTAAAATATTTATTTTGTATGTCATTTTCTAAAATAATTACCAATAAGTACCAAAATGTTAATGTACTATCATAGTAATGTAGTATGTCGGAATAATTATGTTAATGCACTTTTATACACGTGTACGTATACACACAAACACACATTTAAGGCTTTTATATTCATATAAAAATGTAAATTTTTAATTTAAAACAAACTTAATAAATATTACATTAACAAAATAACAAATACAACATAATTTTAGAATATTTCGGAGATACATTTATGATTAATTTTGTACATTAGATTAATTATCTTTTTAATAGCTTAAAAAGAGCAATAATATATTATTATAATGTTAATTAAGGGGTGGAGTGAAAACCGAACTCCGATGCAAAAGCGCCATCATTTCGATGGTACTAAAAATGAAAATGATATCGGCGTAGCCTACGGACCTACGCCGAGTAGGTGTGTACGCATTTGTTTGTACTACAAACTTTGTAGTGATAACTCACTACACTGACGTGTGGTCTGTGTACACCAGGTCACACAAATGCCTTGACATATGAAGTTGCACGGGTGTCAAGGCATATCGAGTCGGCGTGTTCCGACTCTACATATTTTTACATTATGACTATGGTTATGAACATAGCGGCAAAACTGTTTTGACTGTTTCAAAGCAACTGGAGCAATTGACAAATAAAGGTTAATATTTATAATATCAATCAATTGCTTCAATTGCTTTAAAATAGCCAAAACAGCATTGCCGTTATGTTCATAACCATGGTCATGATGTAAAAATATGTAAAGTCGGAACACGCCGACTCGATATGCCTTGACACCCGTGCAACTTCATATGTTAAGGCATTTGTGTGACCTGGTGTACATGTCATCGGATAGTTTATAAACAAACGATACTTGCGTTTGTTCCCTCGACTGAAATTTCGTTGCAAGGCTGCATAATGTACGAGAAAACATAGGCGTATACAAAGTGTCAAATAAATATGAACAAAATATGACAAAATAATAAATACAAAATATATATATAGCAGAGAGAAGACTGAGAGTGGACATGCCCGCATTTTTCGTGTTCTGTGGGCTAGCGCCTCTATGTGCACAAAACGTGCACATTGAACTACATAGCCAATGTCCACGAATCCCGTAGGTAATGTCCACGATCTTTTGGGTCTCTTCCGTGCTATGTCCACGACTTTTTGGTTCCGATATGTGCTATATCTACAAAGTGTCGGTAATGCATACTTGTAAAACATGATTATGTATATCAATCAGATTTAGAAATATAAATACACACGTATTGTAAATACATGTATTGTAGCATTTATTTTTGCATTTACAGTTTATTTAGCAAAAGATCAGTTATTTTCAATAACCTATGTAATTTGAAAATGTACATTTAAATTATTTTAATAAATTACTTCTATAATTTTGTGTGTGTGTGTGTGTGTGCGTGCGCGTGGGTAAATAAATGTTGCATTTTTGTCAATATTTAAAAAGATGATAAACTCTTATAGATATTTCATACAGTAATGACCAATAACTTATTTTGAATATTAAAAGCCAGGGTTGGGCGTTTACACGTAAACTATAATAGATACAAAAATACTCGCATATTAAACACGAATGCAAGCTAAACAGTAAAAACAATCTTTTTATCTATAATTTGAGAAGACTATAGTTATGAATCGTCGCAAGAAAGTGTGCAAATTGTAATCTTGAATTTTAGAATACAATTTACGAAAAATTACAACATAATGTAAAATGAACAAAGATATACATTTTTAATTAACAATCTAACACATATAAAGGAAAGGCTCAAATGATAGCTATCACATAATATAATAGAAAGGCATTGAGAGCCGTCGCGGGATGTTAGTGCGGAATTTTAATTTTTCTTAAAGAAATTAATTTATTAGTCTACGTGAGACAGTTAACTTTGTACACCAATTTCTGGTTCGAGATACTTAAAGTGTATGAAAATTTTAGTACATTGTTCTCACATATGGAGAATCAGTACATACTAATCAATAGACCATTGTTGTGCCCTTGGTAATAGGACACGGTTCGGGATCTGCCAAGGAGTTAGGCCGGGAATCCGGGAATAATCCTTTGACGTTTTTTTAATAAAAAAACAGTCTTCCACATATTTATTGATCTCTTGACTCATTACAAATTCCCTTATTTCTATGTAATCTAGGTTCCGTCAGGAATCCTTGCCTTAGTGCAGTATCACGGAGCCCCAAGTTACTCTTATTCACTTTTAACGAATTGTTATAATTCGCGTTCTTCTAGATTTGTGGTCCCAACGGACATACGTCCGTTTCTTGTGACTGATAGTTTTAGACCCGCCGTCGTGATCTCGCGACGGCGATTTTATATACGTGAAACTGCACTTGATTGCAGTTTTAACGATCTAACTTGCTGACGAAATTCGATCGTTCGTCAGCATTGTTGCGTAA